CCCAAAGGCCCCACCTCCTAATACTATCACATTAGGGGTTAGGATTTCAACATATGAATTTTGGGGGGACACAAATATTCAGTCCATAGCAAATAGCTAACTCCTTTTACAATGAAGCCTTTGAATCGAAGGCCTTGAAATGAAGTCTCATAGGTATACAAAAAACCCAGTACATTGGCTAGATCAGGCATTTCAATTGAAATGGACATACTGGCCTTACCAAAAACCTTAGGTCACGTGATGGGGCTTAGATCAGGTCCCTAACGTGACTCCAATGAAGAACATATGCCAGCTTCCTCAGTAGCTTATACTTTCATACAACCACGACACAAAGCCAGGATCTAACTAGATTTGGCCAGCACACCTGTTACATGAAGTCCAACACCATAAGAACGCAAGGTCTGCTCAAGGTAGATCACAGGTGGACCCTCAAAATATCAGATAGGACCAGGGGTGATCAAATTTGTTCCTTATTTCTTTGCTAAAGTTAAAATCCATTAAGACCTAGCCTGTGATTTTTCTGATTGGGTATGCACTGAGCAAAATAAACATTTTTTTTTTAAGAACCTCTTCTTCTTGGACTGAAAATCTTTCTAACCTGCCCAACTCAGAGCTTCTTCCACACAACTGGGTGGCTGAAAAAATAAGCTCATAGAGCCCAGGGATAGAACTGAAGTTCCCATTACAGACCTTCCAGTTGGTCTGGGACATCTGACTTCAATTCTAAGTAGCTGGGGGACAGAGGGTGAAGGAGATGGGGCTTCAGGGTATAGCCCAAAGCACTGCCCCAGACTTTTCTGCAATCACTAAACCTCCACATGAGCAAATATCCTGCTGATTTGCTTCTCTTTCAAGGAGACTGCAGGGAAGAAAATTCCCTCTTAGGTGAAGAAAACAGCATGACAAAAGTTCTACTCCTATAGATGGTGTTATGGGTTAAATTGCCCCCCCCTCCAAAAAGATCTGCTGAAGTCCTAAGGCCCAACTTCAGAATGTGACTTTATCCCGTTAAGACTGGTGGCCTTCTAAAAATAGGATATCTGGACACAGAGATACACACATGGAGCAGGCTGCATGAACATGGAGGATTGGAGTGATGCACCTACAAGCCAAGGAACACCACAGCTGGCCAGCAAACCATCGGAAGCCAGGAAGAGGCAAGGAAGGATTCCCCAACAGGTTTCAGAGGGAACACAGCCCCGCCGACCCTTGATTTCAGACTTCTAGCCTCCAGGACTGTAGGATAACACATTTCTGTTATTTTCAGCCACCCAGTTGTGTGGTACTTTGCTAAAGCAGCCCTGGGGAACTAACACAGATGGTTTCCCTCCTTCAGTCCTGCCCCTGCTCATGGTTTCCCAGACATAATCACCCTTTACTGTCTCAACTGGAAGACCTCAAAACATTTTCCTGAGCACAGTCAGCCACCTCTAGGGGCTCCCTCCCTCTCCAATCCTTTACTCCAGTTAAATGTGCCAGGGGAAGGATGACATAACAGCTAATATACTGCAACACCCCCAAGCTCAGGCATTTATATCCATCATCTGATTCAGGCCTCATGAGGACTCCGTGAGATGGGCACTGCTTTAGAGGAAGTAAAAGCTCATACGACTAAAGCTATGAATGGCGCTGTGCGACCACATTTTACACAGCACACTCCGCCTCCTGCATTCCATGGGAAAAGATCTGTTCTTAGGAACTTGCACAGGGCTGTGATGGTCACAGAGGCTCCTTCCCAAACCACGTTCGGCATAGTGTGGTCTCATTTTCATTCTTTTCAACAACACAAAACCGGTGCTTGGTTTACTTGGGGAGGCCAGACCTTCTAAATAAAAATCAGGACACATGATCCAACACAGATCTTTCAGTTTGTGAATTGCATCTATGGAGTAACTGATGCTATAGGCAGGTAGCTCTTACGACCAAGTCCAGGTGGAAACCTTTACTTCCCTCTCTTAGCCCTTTACAGCGGAGTTTCACCATACCTGTGGCATGGTTTGTGGCAAACACAGCCTCGTGGCCACAGACAGTCAGCAGTTTAAGAGTGGACAGACACCACAGCCAACCCATCTCTGCTGCCCTTGTGTGTCATCCTGAACAGGCTCTCAACAGGTAAGCAATTTACCTCTTCCTCCTCGTCCCACTACTCACCACTGCTTGTTTGGATGCTCTTGATCCAGGCTTTAAAGGCAACGCTGTGAAGCACAGGACAGCAAATGCCTTTAAGTAGGTACATATGTAGGCAGTTTTACCTCTATTGGTCTGATGTGATGTAGACTCAAATTAGTACACTTAGATTGCAAGGAGTCACCAAAGACCAAGAGCCCCAGAGCCCTTTATGGAAATGCCAAATTTCCAAATATTAGGGGAAATCCCAACATTTACCAGGTGTGCTCAGACTGGTGTTTGCACACATATTATTCTATTTACCTCCCATACGCAGTGTTACAGGGGTGGGGTGGGTATCACCACCCTACTTAGACTCTGAGGTCAAAGGATGTGGCTGGAGCTGCACGGTAAGTAAACGGTAGAGCTGGGATTCAATGGTGGCTTCCGAAAGGGTCAAACCCATGGTTCCTAACACTTTTCCACACTGCTTCTCAGGTGTGAAGATGAGCTCAGACTTTATACCCAATCAATGGCCTCCTACATTCTCAATAGAGCAATGAATTACAAAGAATTCACTTCATTCCTCAATTGAAACATATTTAGGGAGTTGTCGTGGCCAACCCTCCCCACCTTCTTTGGAAATAGCACTTTCCCTTTTTTAGAGAACTGCTTTTCCCTCCAACACTTGCCACGTGGTCTGAATGGGGATGAAGTCTTCCTAAAAGATTCTGCGTCCCCGGCCACAGCGACCATTCCTGGAATGTACACTCCGTCCCAGCAGGGCCAATCAAAGTCCTTCCACGGGAGGAGAGAGGCAGAGCTGGAAAGTTGTCACCTCAAGGGAGACACAGTAGAAAGAGACCCCCAAGCTCCTGGAGCTGAGTCTCAGAGCTGCCCCCACAGCCTTTTAACTAATCTCCTTTTGCTTAATAAGACAGTTTGAATTTCTGTTTCTTCTAACCAAAAAAACTCTTTACTGTCAAGAGAGTAAGTAGTACCACTTGTCAGAATTCCTGTACTCTGGTTCATTACCTTTTTTCCCAACAGAAACAGCCCTTGTGCTGGTCACACGGGAAATTACTCTAGGAAGAGTGTTTAAGAATAATACGGTCACCAAAAATTCAAACCAAAATTGATGACAAGTCTGTGTGCGCTGTGTGAAGTGTACTGGTGAACTCCAAATGCAGCAGGGTCTCACGGAGACCACCAGTTTTGTCTTGCAAACACATTCTCTTATAAACTGGAAAACCCAACATTGATTAAATTAGAGGCTTTTTGCAAACAAAGCACAAAAGGCATCTAAAATAGACACAGCATTAAATATAATTTTTCCCTAACAACAGGGCCTGCCTGCTTACATTTACCATCTCTTCACTCCTCGAATCTACAAAGGAAGTTACTGAAGTTTTCACTTGGGACTTCCTTGGGCTGAATGTCGCTGGTAACATGTGGAGGGTTGGGAGGCGTGTACCCTTCCTTTCCACTTACGTGGGGTATCCTCGCACCCCCTGGGCTGAGCACACCTCTGAGTTGGCCGTGCAGTCCACTTTAGCCACGTAGACCTTGGCATCCTCCACGCTGTTGTATTTGTCCCCCAGGTCATTCCAAGTTGGCTGCAGCCGCTGGCAGTGTCCACACCTGTGACGAGGCGAGAGTAGCAAGCATGCTGAGTGACAGGTCACGGGGTGTCTAGCCCACCTCTTCAGCCCTTTCCACAGGGTAATGGGCTCTCGATCCTTTCTTTGCGCTGCAGTAGATGGGGAGCCCACAGTTTCTCCAGGACCTCACTCTTCTGCTTGAGCCCCTCCAGAGAGTCCCCACATGGCTCTCAGCATTAAAATGAAACTTAACAAGGCATTGTTCAGAGCCTCCTTGATCCAACCCCTGCTGGCCTCCCATTCAGCCTCTTTACCAAAACTCACTCACCCTCCCGTGGCGTTTGCAGGGTTCCGAAAGCGCCGGCTGGCTCACCCCTGACACTAGGCCCACGCACTCTCTGACCCTTCCTCCCTAGCCTCCTCCTGGCTAACTCCTGTTTGCCCTTCAGGTTTCATGTGGAAGTTACTTCCTCCAGCAAATCTGCCCTGATTCCCAGCTGCCTGCTGCCCATTCTCGTCTCCTCATCTTCTGGAAAGCTCCCTGCTCCCCCTCTTTGGCAGCAGCTTAGCACTTCTTGCTGTAATTGCTCCTTTACTGTTACGTCTCCTCCACTATAAAACCAAATGTCCACAAATACAAAGCCACCTCAAAATTAAATCCACTTGGCATTTTCTCCAATGAGAAGCTAAGAAAAAAAAAAGTTTGTGGCCACCCAAACTTCTACGGCTGATACAATCAAATGTCTATTTATAATACCCATTGCATAAATTTAGCTATAAACAAATATTTTTAAGTCACCTATCATGTAAATAATACATTAATGCAGGATTACCCCGTCGTGGTTTGTGGCCACCCAAACTTCTACGGCTGATACAATCAAATGTCTATTTATAATACCCATTGCATAAATTTAGCTATATACAAATATTTTTAAGTCACCTATCATGTAAATAATACATTAATGCAGGATTACCCCGTCGTGCCATCCTTCACATCTCCCAACAGCATCCGCACCTTTCCCGTCACTGATCCACTCTGTCCCACAGCCGACCATCACCTTGCACTGTCTCAGCTGTCTGCAGTGCCATATTTGAATCTTGTATGAGACAACACTGGAAACCTTATCCCAAGCTTCAAGCACAATCACAAACATTATAGCACGTGGGTTTTTTCCTTTTTTTCACTTCTCTGGTAAGTGCGTATTCATGTCTAAAATGTCACTTGCTGTACTGCTTTTTAAAGTGATATTTTTTAAAAAATGTTTGTTTACAAGAACACCCAAGATTATACTTGAGAGTTCTTCCTGAAAAAAATTTCTCAATAAAATCTGTGTTAAATCTCCTAGCCTCTTTCCTTTTCTGACAGCTGACCTCAAAAATAAGCATCAAAATTAGGTAGCACCAGAAAAGTTTGCTTTAAGCTAATGTGCCTTCCCTACGCAGCACATTCTCAGCCACCTAAGAGAACCCGTTTTATGAGACCCAAATACAATATGATTCCCTTTTTTCTGGAAGGTAATTGTGAGGGAAACCCAGTGTTACATTAAATACATATGGTGTAAGTGCCATGAAGGCAAGCACTGACTTTCGCTCCTGCCTCCCCTGTACTTAGCACATGCTTGGCATATGCTAAGTGCCTGGCAATCTTTTAGCTGAATGAATGAAAAAAAGCACAGCGTGACTGCACGTGTGAATGTTTGCTCCTCAGTCAGCCTCGGTTCCAGCATGCTCCTTCTCATGGCGCCAGCATCTTACCACATCAATACGACCCTGCTGTCTAAAGAGGCAGATCTGACAACTAGTCCACTTGGTACTTAACCAAAGAGCTAGTCCATTTGGTACATAACCAAAGAAGCCATGAGCTGTTCTAATGCTGGGGGAAAACCTGGCTGTGAGGACTTACTGGGTGACTGTGGGGTGGTCTCCAACAAGGCTCCTTCCCAAGGGACTTTCAGGGGCTCTAGGGGAATTGGGTCAGACATGCTTATTTTAGAACTTTGGAACTCCTCTACATCCTTGCCAGGTCAACACAAGATTACATTGCGAATAAGAAGAAAGAACAAGTTCATTATGCACTAAATCAAACAGACTGTCCTGTGTCATCACCAAACTGGGGTGCCTCTCCCTCTCCTGGTAGCTGTGATGGGTCCACAGGTGCCATTTGGTCGGCACTTCTAATTTGGGGCCCTTGTGGCTACAGCACACACCTCCGAGATAGCCAGGTGCATGTGGAAGCAATGGCCAAGCAACACAGCAAAGCCCCTGGGTCCTAATCTTGACCTCACCTCACTGGCACTAGGTTCACTGTGACCTGCAACATTAAGTCACAATTTCTGACCACAGAGAAACTGTGATGTTGCCACAAAATCTACAGCAGGAAAACCCTACAGCTGCCAATTTCAGAGCAAAAATACACAGATCAATGTTTTCATTACATGGTGACCCTAACTGACCCCCCAATCGCACACAGACTTCCAACCTAGATGCTCCAACTGGAAAGAGAGGTAGCGCAGAGGGCAGCCTACAGCATACTCTATCCAAGCTCCAAACTGCTCTTAGAAGTCTAACTTTTAAATGCCATCATAGAAACTCACGCATCTCTATTTAAACATTTGTAGCAGACTACGAAGACCCAAACAAATAAAAACTTAAGGTTAAGTTAGTTTTTCCGGGAACATCCACCTAAATGTGTAGAAGCCACAAAACAACGAATAAGGAATTTACTTAATACCAAGTGCTCAGACTTGCCAGTCTTCTCAGTCCAGGACTAGCTGGTATTTATTGCAGACTCCAAAATTAAAACTCCACTGGCACTGCAGGGACTAATTGCATCTACATGTCAATTTTTCTCAAAAGAAAAAAAGGAAAGCCAACAGATTTATTCCACTGAAATAGGCTCCAATTAAATAGTGTATTCAATTAGATAGCACACAGAATATTCCCGCACAGAGTAACTATTAACATTGACTGCCTGTTTTAGGCTACAAAGTATTTTCTGTACCACTGGTAGTTCTAAAAATTCAAGTCAGTTGGTCCTAGGGAACCTGGAACACAATGTATTCCATACATTCTTTGGTAAGCAGTGATGGCTGTGACTCAGACTCAGTTGATTAAACTCCAAATGAGCTGAAACACAGTAATAGCCTGAATATGGGGTTAAGAGAAAAAAGTTCCTCCCACTTGGAAAGGCACAATTTCTGAATAGGCCATTTTTCTCAGGTACCTTTTCCCTACTCCTTCCTACGTCCCTCTCCCAAACGAGCCCCTCCAGAGCTCTTGGGCCATCCCCACATCTCACCCTACCTTATGCCCTAAAACGATGGCTTTCTGCTCATGAGAATTTCCCTACCTCAGGGCATCTAGGCCTGAACGCTGCAAGTACTTGAGCAAATGACAGGAATCCCTGTTTAGGATAATTCTCAGGGCAGGGATCTCTCAGGCCAGCGGCGAGGCCCACACTAAAGCCCCAGTCACAGAACCAAAGCAGGAGGGTTTATGTGTTCAACGGGGTGACTTTTGCCATCTCACACTTTCCAAATGACCTGGCCCCGGGACACCAGAGAGGAGGAGGTGACAAAGGACAGCCTCGAGTTGAGGTCCCTGGGCTCCGGTCACCAATAGCACAGCTCACATCCACTCCGAGCTGCGGAGGGGTGCCCAGCACGTACAGGAACCTTCCTCTGCCTGGACCTTCTCATCCCACCCCGCAAAACACGCACAGTGTGGAAAATCACAACTTCCTGAGTTTCCAATTTTTAATTAAAGCCTCACGAAAGTGATGCCCGACATCTAAGTATCCAGCGCCAACTCCTGTCGCCTGCGGCCAGCAGGAAGGACCCCGCTGGCGAGTGCACGTGGCCCACCGGGTCCTGGCCACTGGTAGGCCGCTGCGTCCACAGGAAGTTTGGGGCGCAGGGCAGGGGATACGAGGGGCGACGTCTCGGTCCAGCTGTCCTAAAGGGCGACGACCCCGCTCGCCCTCCCTCGGTTCCGAGGTGGGAGGGGGAGAACAGGGAGCGCGGGGCAGGGGCGGGCGGCCTTTTCCCGGCTCTCCCCTCGGGGACCG